TCCCTGAGTGGAGAAGATGTTGCTGAGATTTCAGGGAAACCCAGGTGGCTACAGTGGGCAAGATAGCGTATCAGACAAGAGAGCTGCACAGAGAAGGACCCAAAGATCTGAGTCACTGAGTACTTGTCAACATGTACATAAAAGAAAACTACCTAAGAATAGAGACAGATATATTAAAAAGGATTAAGGGTAGCAGTGCCTGATGCTAATACAGGACTAGAAATATTGCCTGTTCTATCAGCCAGGAAAGATCTCATAATTCCTGGAGCACCGGGTAACGTATCCAGAACCATCTTGTCTCAATAGTGGGGGAAATTAGGCCTAGACTAAACATGGCTCTGATCTTGTCTAACAAATCTTAAAAGTAAGACACAAAAAGATCAAACTATTTCCAAGTAACTAACCTGGGCCCTAAACCAAAGCAGTAGATTTATAGGAGAATAAAAATATCTAGTACTCATAATCTCACTGCTGGGAAGTAATCTGGGATACACAGTAACTGATTGCACAAAAGCATACTCTCCCCTGCATCCCTGTTCTGGGTTATGGGGCCCGTTGCCCATTATAACTCTAATTGTATTGCTCTCACTCCTTTGGAACACGCAGTGTATTGCTATGTTTTTTTATGGAAGAAATAATAAAGCCTGTAAAGTATGAGGAACGCAAAGCTGTCGCCAGATATCGATCCATTGTCAGTTCTCTACCCGTGACAGTAAATTAAATTTTAGCTCCTCTCATTCTAAGTCTTGGAAAGAGAATTATAAATAACATCAACCCCTCTTCTAGGCATCAACATAAATCCAATGATAACTTAAGCAGTTTTTAATACCACACCATGCACATTTTTATAGATTTTCAAATACAGATTTTAACTACCATTCTCCTTTTGTTACCTTGCCAACCACGTCATCAAACCTTTGGGACGAGAACTACTAGAGCATTTAACATGTTCATACCTTTCTCCTCTTCAGTTAAGTTTTGTAAGTAGTGCCCCATCTAAGCCCTGCGAGCATCACAGTGTGTTGAACATGTTTAACTCTTCCATTTCAGTTACTGCATTCAAAAGATTAACAAAAATAATAATACAAATGTGTATGTGTGTGTGAGTGCATGACTAGGGTAGAGAAGTGGGGAAGAAAAAAACACCTAACATTCTCATCTTCTGTTCTGTGTAGCATGTTTCCACCCACCGCACAGTAGCTTGTCTATTTTTTAAATCAGCATAAAGTAGAATATAACGATGGTTCAATTCTCTCCTTCTCTAAAAGGATGTGCAGATTTCAACTTACGGGTTAACAGGAGACTTCTAAAGTCTGATGACCAGGTGGAGGGGCCGGGAACAATTTTCTTCATGTTCAACTCCTCTGACTGTGGCTTCTTAGTACTCTGTGCTGGCTCACACTTCTCAAACTGAGTTTTCTCTGTTGGCTTTCTGAAGGTGTTTGAGGTTTTCTTTTTTTAAAATTTTTTGTTATTATTGATTTTTAAAAAGAGAGGAGCGAAGAGGGAGAGAACATTGATCCACTGCCTCCTGCATGCCCCCATCGGGGATTGAGCCTAAAACCCAGGCATGTGTCCTGACCTGGAACTAGTGACCTCTTGATTCATGGCTTGAAGCTCAACCACCAAGCCACATTGGCTGGGCCAAAGGTGTGTTTTTGACATTTTCCCTCATATATATATATATATTGATACATACATATACACACACATATGTGTATATAGTTATGTATATATACATACATATATACATATGTATACATATATATGTGTATATGTCTATATGTGTATATATATGGTATGTGTGTATATATATGTGTGTACATATATAGTCTAAATAGATATTTATGATTTGAAATACCATCTATATGTAAGCATCTCCCAAATCTATATCTATATTCATTCTAAATTTCTCTTCCAACTTCTATTTTAGACACCTAGATATGCCTGCCTATGGGATAACTCAACTTGAACGTCCCCTAGGAAAAACACATTACAGTGTCTGATTGTAAAATCGTATTTCCTTTCATCTACATTTACAGTGTCCATTGAAGCAAATATCATGACCATTCAATCCATAGTTGATGATAGAGTCTTAGATGAGTATTGATGTTTCTTTCTCATTCCCCATGCACACTCAATAAGTCACAATCTTTAAAGGGATTCCTAATCTTTTCACTTTCTCATTTCCACTGTTATTCAAGGTCATCCTTCTAAATGATCATCACTGCACCTTTCTTACTGATCTTTCTGATTCTATTAGTCCCCTCTGGTCTATTCAAAACACAGCAACCAAATTCATCTTCTAAAGTGAAAGTCTGTTAAGATGATGTCCCTAAAACAATGCCTATACAAGATAGCGTAGTCTGTTCCCTGAACAATACTCCAGCCAGCTTCACCTCATGTTTTTCTTTCCCTCTATCATAGTCATTAATTCTGTTTATCAACTATGTTAAGTTTTTTTTTCCTTCTGAGCTCACATTTAGAGTCATACTTCCTTGTCCCCATGAAGTTAGACTTGGTCACGTGGCTTTCTTTGGACTATGAAATATGATTGTAAGTGATAATTCTCACTTTCATGTCACTATGTTCTTTAAAAAGCAACATAGATTTTATCATTCTCTTATCACCAATGATCAAGACAATCTATATGTATAAAAGCCTAAACAACCATTTGACTGTCCGAATGGTAGCTATGATGTGCACTGACCACCACGGGAAAGATGCTCAATGAAGGAGCTGCTGAGCTGCAGTGACTTGGCAGCTGCAGTTCTTGGGTGATACACCTGGAACCAGAGAGGAGAGAGCCCAATTCCATGGTGTCTCACCCGAGAACTGCCCTCTCCCAATCCGGGACCCCACAGGGGATGTCAGAGATCGGGGTTCAGTCCAATCCCCACAGGCCAGGCCAAGGGACCCCACCAGTGCATGAATCTGTGCACCAGGCCTCTAGTAAAAGATAAAAGAAGATATGTTTGCTAGTCTTTCATTTAGTATGGCCAATTCTATACTTAAAGAAGATATCAAACTCTTTTATATTTCTGGACAATTGCATCTATTTTCCCTTTATCAGAAATGCTCTCCCAATAGCCTTCCTAACCATTTAATTTCATCTTGTTAGTTCTAGTTTATCTTTCCCATATCAAACTAAAGAGACCTTTTTAATTTTTTTTTCTTTATTAATTAAGGTATTACATATGTATCCTTATCCCCCCATTGCCCCCCATTCCCCACTCATGCCCTCACCCCCCTGGTGTCTGTGTCCATTGGTTAGGCTTATATGCATACATACAAGTCCTTTGGTTAATCTCTCCCTCTTAACCCCACCCTCCCCTACCTTCCCTCTGAGGTTTGACAGTCTGATCGTTGCCTCAAAATGCCTGTGGTAGCAGCTGTTAACAACTCCTCCACAGCAGCATTGCAAACACCCAGAGCTGTGGCTGCGAAGGCCGCCCCAGCGGCACCAACCTCCTCACAGTTGAAGAACCTCCTGGATGAGCTCCACCACCTGGGCCAGGTCTGCGTCAGAGTGCACAGGCTCAGGCTTTGCAGGAAGGAGCTCCGGCTGCACAGGGGGTGTCATGGGGGGTTGGAAGAGGCCGGGTGTCGCACTCGGGGTGGCTGCTGGGTGGTGCGGCAGATAGGGCGGTGCAGGAGCCAAGATGGGAAGAGGCTGCGGGAGGAGGGTAGGCTGGGACGCGGCCGCCTCAGTAACACATTCCTCTCCTCTCCCTCCACCTGCTGCCTCCAAGCCGGGTCTCTGAGGGCCCAGGGACAGCTCCGCGGCCAGACTCTCTCGGACGTACTTGTTCTGGGAGTTGAAGCTGCACACGGGGGTATGACGAGGGACAGGGGGCAACGGCCCCCCATTCACAATTTCCCCAACTGACACCATCAGCTTCCTGGTAATAAACACCGACTTCCTGGCCTTCAAGAACCCCTCTGGTTCCAAGAACGAGGACCGGTTCAGCTCGACACAGCCATCGGCAACAGGGAGACCATGGGAGTTGAGGAAGTTTGTGGCCTCTTCGCAATCTCTGAAGAGCAGCAAGCGCACCACGCCGTCCAGGGGAAAGAGGGTGGATCGTTTTTTGCTCACAGTATAGGCGATGTTGAGTGCCCGGAGAGCATCCTTGCGGATCTGGTTAAAGTAGCAATGTAAAAGACAAGCGTTCAAATAAGAAGCTGACTGGACCAGCTTGAAAAATCTCACGAAATTATGACTGTTCAATGCAGCAAAAGCCTGAACAGCAAAT